CTACACACACACATCCCTCCAAACAAACTCACCCCTACACATCCCTGTAGACACCCTACATATACCCCACACACGCTACATCCATATACCCTATACATACCGCATACACATTACATGCACACTCAACACACACACACACACACACACACACACACAAACACACAGACACCAGGGTCCACCCAGACAGCGCAGAGGTGGACAGTAACCATCATTCAGCTGAGCCCGGTCACTTTAACCGGGGCCCTTCCTCCGAGTGCTGCCACAGGACACCGGTGCCTCTGTGCCACGTGCCTGGGCAGAGAGGTACACTCAGGGTTGGGTCTGATGGGAGAGACATTCTGCACCTTTCTGAACACCCCCCCCCACCCCCGTTTCAAACTCTAGTGGCCACCCAGAGGGGCAGGCATGATGGGGACTGGCGTGGTGCCCCTCATCTCTGCTGCCCATGTGTGCTCATCGCGCCCTTCTGCCCTCAGGCACGTGAAAGGCCTGCACGTGAACATGGCTTTCGTTTTAAAAAATTCCTTCTTCCCGACTGTTTTGCTGGGCCCGAGCTTCCGGCGGCTTTTTGGCTACACCGAGAGGGACGCAGAGCTCCTGTACCCCTTCAAGAAGGTCTTTAACAGCCTGGTGAGAGAGAGCGGCTACATGCACATCCAGGCCACCAAGCCGGACACTGTGGGTGAGTCGCACGCAGCGGCTGCAGCTGGGCCTTCCTCCGGGGCTCACGGTCATTCCACCAACAAGTCACCAGCCAGGGAAGGCTCCCTCCCTTGGGGCCACAAACCTTTTCAGGGAACGCCAAGCTCTTCCGATCCTTGAACTGCATTTCCCCTAGAAGCAAGTTTATAATGGTCATCAAATTCCCAGGCCACACCAAACTCTACTTAGCTGGCTGACTATTTATAGTGGCATAGACTTCCCCCCACCCCCATACCCCCTGAGCCCAAGTCCTTCAGGAGGAAGCATGGGTGGGGAAAGGAAGAAGCCCCCCCAGGCAGAGCTGGGGCTTGTGGGGTGGGGCCCCAGTAGAGGAAAGGGAGAGGGAGCCTTCCCCTGGAGGCGGGGAGGGGGCTCGGACGTTCCTGTGACAGTAAGCCATTTCAGCCACCAGGATCCCGCTAGAGCAGTTTGCTTGTTTTGAGACGGTAAAACCATGACTCTCGTGTAACTGAACAATGAGCACTTTCAAAGATCTAATTTAGCTCTAGTTAATAAAGGAACTTGTAAAAATTTAAAAATGGTTCCAAGGCAATTGGGAACCCTGAAGTCCATATGCTCACAGATTCAGAACCGGGCCAAATCCAACAGGGTGTCGGCCTCAGTTGTATCTCCACTGGACAAACTCCATTTGCTGTTCCATGGACAGGAATCATTTGCATGACAATTCACAGAGCTGTAAACTAGCTTTAAGACAAGGGGAGATGAGACAGGGTCCCAGGAGAACCAAGTAGCCCCAGAAGGGCCCACTAGAAAACAGAATCCCCCTGAAAGGGGTCCTCCTCTTGCCCATTTCAAAACGTTTGACAGTTTCCATGAAAGCCCCTTCCTCACCTTTGCGAGACAGCCCGTAAAGCCTTTATAAAACAGCGGTTACACACTGGACTGCTAACTGCAAGGCCAGCGGTTCAAAACCACCAGCTGCTCCCTGGAAACAAGACAGGGCTTTCTACTCTCATCAAGAGTTAGACTGAACTCCGAGGCTGTCCTGCCCTGTGGGGCACTGAGTCGGCGTCAGGTTGGCAGCAGTGAGAGTGAGTCTGGTTTCACAAGTAGTCCATCTTTGTGCACAATTTGAAGGGAAAAAAAGTGGGGGCACAGGACTGAAAGGGCGATTTCGCCATACCCTCTGCTCCCTTCCCAGCCCTCTCCCCTCCAGTCTTCAAAAGAACTGGCTGTTCTTGTTGGTGGATTTTCACACGTGGACCACACCCAGGTACCCAGCAGTTCATGTCAGGAACAGCGTGCCCCCATTCCCAGAAGCCCCCCTGGGCCCTCTCCCAGGCCTGCCCCCCTCCCAGGAGAACCACTCTCCCAGCTTCTAACCTCAAACAGTTTTGTTCGTTTCCATACTTGGTCTGAGTGGAGATCAGAGTGTATTCATTCTCCAGGGTCCAGCTGCCTTTGCTCAGGACTCTGGTGAGGTTTTCCTGTTGCCCCAGCCATTTGAAAGACTACTCACAATTTTGGCAGATGGGCATATTTATTTATCGTTGCTATGCGTACTTAACAAAACATTTTCCATTTTAACATTTTTAATGAAGTATACAATTCAGTGACACTGAATGTTCATCACGCTGGTCAACCATGAGCACTCTGTTCAAGAAGCTCAGGGCCCCTGAGCAGAGCATCCTGTCTCCCAGTCCCCCTCCCACCAACTTCTGTATTTTTAACTGATACCTTGCTTTGGACTTTTGGGGGCTTTTCATTTTTCACGGATTACAGCATAAAGACTTGAAAAAAGAAGAATCTCCCAAACCCATTTTTAAAAATAGCATCCATACACACATCTCTTTTGGGTCTCACAAAACCCAGAGCCGTAGAGCCTTTGATTTGAAGAAAGCTGCCGGCTTTGTGTGACTGCCGGGAAGTAGTGGGGTGTGGGTGTGTGTTTGTGGGGGGTCTGTTATCTCTGTGGGTCAAGATTGAGGGCGAAGGAAGGGGAAGTGCTTGAGCCCCTAAGTGTCAGGGCAGAGCAAGCCTGGCTTCTGGCCAGGGTCCAGCGTGTGGGATCAGCCCCATCCCCTCAGTCTGAGCTGCTCCCTGCTCCTGCCAACCCAGGCTGCGCCCTGAACGACTCCCCTGTCGGGCTGGCTGCCTACATTCTGGAGAAGTTTTCCACCTGGACCAATCCGGAATTCCGAAACCTGGAAGACGGAGGCCTGGAAAGGTGAGGAGTGCGCCACCCCTCCCCACACACACATAAACTCACCTCTGCTGGGGAGCCTCCCCATCCCCACAGCCGCCACCTTCTAGTGTCTGGTTGCTTTGTCTTAGGGAGTGGGTGAGGGGAATGGATTAAGTGGCCCCTCCCCAACCTGGCCCCCTTAGCCTTGTCTTCTGGATGAGGAAGCTGGGGACCGAGGAGCCTGACTCTAAGCTCACTGGCTCAAGCGGAGCCATGAGAAAGCAGGGTGTGCTTGGAAAGGGCACTGGTTCAGAGGCTGGAGCAGCACAGTGAGGGGAGACCACAAGGACACACAAATCCTAGAGCAGCCTCCCCCCCCCCCCACCCCAGAAAGGCCCCTCTGAGCGCGGCCCTGGGACAAAAATGGCTCTTGTGGTCGCTTTCAAGCCCTGGTCAGAGACCAAAGTGACGACACACAACTGGCTGGCCAGAGGCAGTTCAGGGAATTGAAATGGGTGTGACTGTCTCAGTGTCGGTGGCCGGTTTCCATCCAGTCACCAGATGGCCACTTTCTCTCATGGCCCTGCAGAGAGCCGCTCTTGGGAGGGCGGGGGGTGGGGGTGGGGAGTCCCTTCCTGCAGGTGAAGATGCGTCTGCCTCTGTCAGTGCCGCCTCTGGGCCGCCGCCCCCACCCCCCACCCCTCGCTCTTCTGTCTGCATTGGTTGCATGTTTACCTGAGGATCACACTGATTGCTCGTGGGCATCTGAGTAGTCGAAGCATGGGCTGGTTGGGGCTAAACTGGCTTCGGGTGCATAGGTTAGACGGATGGAGCAAGGCAAGGGGACCAGTCCACGCTGTCATCTGGGCAGCAGTGACCGGAGGAGGCATGGACGGTGGGATGGGCGTAACTGAGCATGGATCTGGGAAGGCACACGGGGACTGAGGTTTCCTACAATGCTTCGCAACAGAGAGTGGAGTGGAGGCTGTGTGTCTGCGTGTGTGTATGTTGTCTGTGCATGGGGGGCATTCGGGGAGGGGCATAGTGTAAATGCTCATTTGTGCTGGCAGGCTGGCCTGGTTAGAGATGTCCACTTGGTAATGGACTCAGATCTAGAACTCGGCAAGTGAGAGGCTGTCTTAGAAGAAACCAGTCCACTGTAGTATTAGAGATTGCATGCAGCCAGGCAGGGGAGAGGGGCGGCGAGTGGAAAGGTCTTCAGTTGGGGTGACTTGAGACATTTAGACGAGGTCATGGAAGGAGCAGGTGACTGACAGCTAAGCCCAAGGAAGCAGATGAGTGGGGTGAGGTTCCAGCAACACACCCCTTAAGCTGGGAGACTCGGGGAATCGAATCGGGGAGGGAGGCGGCAGGGGGTGTGCTGCTTCCCAATGGACTTAGCATTGTCGCCTACATCAGCAGCTGGGGCCTCTCAGGTGGGCTCTGGCTCTGAGCCGGGTATCTGTGGAGTGGGGGTGGCAGTGCCAGCCTCGCAGCATGGTCCTCAGGGTAAAACTACAGAAGCGCTTCATCAGGCGGGGCAGGAGGGAGCCAGCGGCCCCTGGTGCTGAGTGGGGTGCTTCCTGTTCCTGACCGTCCTAGGAAATTCTCCCTGGATGACCTGCTAACCAACATCATGCTGTACTGGACAACCGGGACCATCACCTCCTCCCAGCGCTTCTACAAGGAGAACTTGGGCCAGGGCTGGAACAGCCAGCCGCATGAACGGTGAGCTTGGATTGGTGGTGGAGGTGGCCCTTCTTGACCTCAACGAGGGGCCGTGGGGTGCACAGAGAAGCTGTGGTGTCCGGGAGCTGGAAGCAATCCTGTGTCCTTCCAGCTAGCTCTTGAAGGCTCTTCCAGGGCTCTCTCTTGTCCTCCTGTTGGGGGTCTCCATTTCTAAACCAGCCCTGGAGGCCCTTGGGGGAGCAGGGGCCTGGCCTACCTTCACCCCCAGGTCAGTAGGACGGGGTTTCAATGGTTCACTCCTTGAAATTTTTTATTAAGAGATCATTTTATTGGGGACTCTTACAACAGTCCATACATTAATTGTATCAACCATATTTATAAAATGTTACCATTTTCTAGACATTTACTTTCTATTAAGCCCTTGGCATCAATTCCTCCCCCCACCCCTTGATAAATTACAAATGGCTGTAAATCTTAACCCACCGCATCACAGGGCCTTTGGGGTGGGAGGGGAGAGGCAGGGAAAACCTTGGGGCCAACGAGCTGGCCCTGCTGTGCAGACAGCCTCGTCCTCAGCCACCCCTTTGCTTCCCGTCTGCCCCTCCCTCTAGGATGAAGGTCTGGGTGCCCACAGGCTTTTCAGCCTTTCCTTGTGAGTTAATGCATGCCCCGGAAAGCCTGGTGAGGTTCAAGTTTCCCAAACTGCTCACCTATTCCTACATGCCCCGTGGGGGCCACTTCGCCGCCTTCGAGGAGCCGGAGCTGCTGGCCCGGGACATCCGCAAGTTTGTGGGAGCCGTGGAGAGACAATAACTTCTGCGATTCCCCTGCCAGGGAGAAGGGGCCCCTTTCCCCAGGTATGAGTTTGTATCCTGCCCTGCCCATGCTGGGATCCCCATGCCCAGCCCTGCCACAAGGGCCAGCACACATGGCTTGGATAATACATTTAAAATTTTTACTTCTCAGTGACTTGCGTGTCCCTTGCTAGCGGTGTGGACTGGCAGGTCTAGAGCCTGCTCTGGGAAGGGGGTCCCACTGGGGACCGGGGCTGAGTTACTGCCTCAATCTCCTAACAAGTGCATGCACAGGACAACTTGGGGGGAGGGCCCCCACTTTAGGCCTTGTCACCCAAACCCTGGCCCACCTACAGTGAACAAGTCCAGAGCTGGTCTGATGGGCCCCAAACACCAACTTGGGCCTCTGTCGCCACCCGGAGGCAAGAGCGATGAAGTGCCTGGGGAGCAAGTCCAGCGCGTGGCCCTAGCAGAGATCCTGCAGGAGGAGCCAAGGGGCTGACAGGATTGTGGTCCTTCCAGCTGGAGCCACACACAGCCCACCCTAAGCCCAGAGGTAGCCTGCTCTTCTCTTGTGCCTGCCCTCCAAGCACTGCGCCCCACACCTTGAGTCCTGAAAAGGCAGGAGGCTGGCTCTCAGCAGTCTGCTCAAATGGGCACTATTAATGAGCCTCATTGCCCATCACTAACAACATGGTTTGAAAACAACCACCCAGACACAGGATGTGGCGGTGCGCACACAGCTGACTCCTGGGCAGCTTCCAGGGGAGGGGAGGGGGCCATGAACAGTGGACAAGGACGGGAGTCACACTGAACCTCCTCTCCCATCCATACCCCACTGCTGACAGTAGCTCTCATTAGGTGTAAGGATGGGGACAGAGAGACAATGTCGCTTGGTGACATTACCTTCTAGAGCCACCAGGCTAATGGTTCTGGGGGACGTTGCTACACATGATCTTGGCTAAAAAAAAAAAAAAACCCACTAGGAACATCATTTCAGCTACAGCCAGTGGGAAGCTTGTGCCCGAGAAGAGGCCCAGGGGAGCGGAGCAGGCCTGGGGAACAGGTGAGGTATCGAGCTGCAGTATATCTTCACTCCCCTGGGACCACAGACACTACCTGCTGGCCTGCAGCCAGTGTCCCAACCCATTCCCACCCAGCCAGGCGCCTGACGCCGGCCTTCCTGAGTCCACCTTTCCAGGACAGCACAGTGTGGTGGGGTGGGGGTCCTGAAACCTCTGTTCCTGTGTCTCCTCGGCCCCTGGCTCCCAATTCCGCTCCTCTGGGAAGTTCGCCCTCAGGCCTCCTGGTAGGAGATGGCCACACTGTCCTCCGGGCTCTGGGCCAGGCCCTGCCCTGGGAGAGCCCCACTGATGTTGCGGATCGCTCCGTACGTCTGCTGCTGCTGCGGGGACAGCGCTGTCCTTTCCGAGGCCAAGCCATTCAGAATTCGGGGCACGTATGGCTGCCAACAAAGGAGGGAGTTAGTGCTCAGGTGGGGGACACTCCATCCCTGCGCCCCTGCCCCCATGGTTCAGGCACCCTCCTCTGAGCCAGGCTGTTGCTCATGAAAGACCCCAGGGAAGTCAGGGCTGCAGAACTGTCTAGCGGCCCAAGTCAATGTGCCACACGATCGTACCCAGTTCCCGTGGTCGCAGAGAAGGAAGCATACCTACTTCTCAGCACTGTGCATGGGAAACTAGCCTCTATCGAACAATGCCCGGATGCTGAGCAAACCTGTGGACATTGTGGCCCCTCCAGAGGCCGGTCCTGACTGGCTGGCAGTCACAGGTGTGTCCCTCCGAGGACAGACACTGACAAGAGGGCCTGGCACCCGAGAAGGGCACCTGCTGAGGGGGGGCACTGGCCCACCCTCTGGAAACAGGATGCTGGGGCCAGAAGCAGATAGAAGGACAGGAGTCCCCGTCTTTCTAATGTGGGGCTTGCCTTTGAAGCACTGATTCGCCAAGTTAACCAGTGTGGCCACCTCTTGGTGCCTACCAGAGGCCTTCACCCAGGCCAGTGGGAGGAATGGCTGTGAACCGGCTGTGTCACTAAAGCCAGACTGGGGGGGG